GGTCCCTCTGATCTGTTATGCGACCGTCGAGTGGCACTCCTCTGATCGCGTGCTCTGGCAGTTTGGTTGTTTTCAACCAATTCCAGAAGGACCTCGCAATATGGACGAGTTGCATAACTTAAATAGACGCGGCAAGACAGATACAGATTGGCTGGTGAGGCATCATGAGTGGTTCGTGTTGTGGGAGGATCGACATCGGTGCCTTCCACGTAGAGAGCCCATTTTTACTGACTTCTTGATGTATGCTGAGGATTATTATGAGTGGTTCAACAGTAACGGGAAACCGTTTCTACTTCCCGAGGATGCACGAGGGCAGACATTTCCACGACGTCGACAGAGACGTTCACCGACACATCACCATCATCCCCCGACTCGTAGACGGAGAGTAGGTGCTTCCAGTTCATCCTCAGCTGCACAAGTAGGACCTTCCCAGCAGCCACCGCAGCCATATATGATGCCGCCATCGCCTTTCTATTACCAGATGCCGCTGCCGCCGCCTTTACATGGTTTTATGAACCCGCCACCGCCACCATCACAGATGACCCCTCCTGGAGGCTATTATGGGTATATGTTTATAGATCTAATATGGGGTTCATATACTGAATATTTGACGGGTTCAGCCTCATCACCCATGGCCGCAGCACATACACCGCCTCCTGTACAGTTTTCACACTCAGCGATGTGTGGGTTTTATGAGTTTTCCCAGTTTTCGCAGGCCGGTGGGATAGTCAGTCATACACCTCCAGGGTCCTTATTATACGGAGGTGCTTCATCGTCATCAGCTCCTCATGTACTTGCGCAAGATGACGACGATGACGACGACGATGGTGATGATGATGACAGCGAGGAGTCAGAACCAGTGATACGAAGAAATCCTCCTCGAGACCGACAACCACCGCCCTGCGGAACACATTCGCTTCGCAGGCATCGATAGTTTTGTTTTTTATTATATTTGTATTTACTTTATTTTGTTAAATTGTAATTTTTTTTATTTCTCATTTAATACTTACTTTATTTTGTTAAATTTGTTGGAAGTTCATTTTTTATTACCATTTAATATCAGTTATTATAATTTGGTTATCATTTACCATTTAATACTTATTGTTATTAGTTTGTTAAAATTTAATGATTGTGTTTGTTTTTTTAATCTTCATCGGTGATTATCAAATGACATTAACTTGAAGTAAATGCAAATTAAAGTAGAAGAATTATTATTTGATAATAAAATACATCATTTCTTCATCAATTGTTACTTGATGACAACAGAAGTGGACATGTTTTTCTAGTGTGTCCTGGGTTTCTACAATGGCCACATCTTCTGTCTTGTCTAGATCTTTCTCTAATATCCATATCGCAATGAATTCGATTGGATTTTGGACGACCACGCTCCCTCAATAAACTTGGATTTGGTACAATCGGAAGCCAATCTTGAACCTCATCAGGGTCATCTTCATTACCTATGGGGGAAACTCAAATTCGTATACCTTAAAAACTTCAGATAGTAGGTATACGGGATCCACAAAATGGTTATAGTCTTGACATGTATGCGAGCAAGCTGCTATCACATGAGAGCATGGATACTTTAGAGCTTGAAAAAACCCATAGTCGCACGTTCTGTCCCTTAGATTTACTCTTAAAGACACAACTTCTATCCCTTGAAGAGGTCGCGGCAACTCTGTGACACGAAAAATTTCATGCCTTCTAGAAAAGCTTGTTACAGACATTCCATTTGATGCAACAATTTTTTTCTGTAGATCTGCAACTAATTTAGGGTGATAGATATGACCGCCTTGCATCCAGGTTTGAGCTTGTCCCCCAAGCTTCGTAAAAAGCGCCCCCAAACAAAAATATATAGTCTTTACCAAAGCCGCTACTGGTAAGTGACGTGCACCCTTTAAGGTTAAATTGATTGCCTCTGCCAAGTTGGTCGTCATGTGTCCATATCGATATCCACCATCATATGCGTTCGTCCATATTTCTTTATCGATGAGGCTGATGTAATCATATCCTTCCTCGTTCTTCGCCTGCAACTCTTGAAACATTGATTCAAACGTTCGAGGAAGTAGTTCGTAACCTGATCAAAAAATATATAACTTACTAACTTGTTGTCTTTGCAAAATTAAAACGATCGAAAGAAAACAAACTTGCTAAGTTTCACTTACCCATGCGCACAATTAATTGACGCTTATCATTCTTCTTGTACCTTCCATGGTAATTTGCGACAATGTGTCGAAGACAATACCTATGTTGGACAAAGGGTGGTTGCCACATTGGACCCAAAGACTCAATTGCTGCTTTGATCCCAGCTCCGCGATCTGAAATGACACAGATATTTTTCCTCGTGATAACATGTGCCCGTAAATTTCCAAGGAAAAAAGCCCAAGAAGTTATATCTTCTCATTCGACAAGAGCAAAAGAAACTGGAAGAATATTGCGATTGCCATCTTGGACAACTGCCAATAATAAAACTTGTTTGTATTTTCCATACAAGAAAGTCCCGTCGATCTGGACCACAAGCTTGCAGTATTTGACAGCATTAACGCACTGTGGGTAACTCCAAAAAACCCGGTAGAATTGGCATCGATCGCGAAGAACTCGATCATTATGGTATGCATAGGAGGTTTCGAAGTCCACAATTATCCAGGATTCAACGTTCGCACCAGCCTAAACCAACCTGGAAGTTCATTGTAAGATGAATCCCATTCGCCATGAAGTTTGACAATGGCCTTTTGTTTTGCCAACCAAGCTTTTTTATAGGAGACAGTGTACCCATACTGCGATTGTATAGCTGAAATCAACACTGCAACAGCTATATGAGAGCTTGCTTTGACCATGGGCATGATGGCTTGTCATATCACTTCAGAGTCCAAGTTGGGATGATCTTGGTTGACCCCTCCAGCACAACATGTGTGAGGACCGTTGTATACTGTTAGTTCACATCTGTTGTTTTTCCTCTTCCTCTTCGATACGCGAACTATCCAATTGCATCCGTTTTCGCGCTGGGCACAGTAACATACATATTTTTTGGTCGTGGAGCGGTCTACTCTGGACTGAACAGAATTACGGATATTGTAATTTTTGATAGCCATTATCGCTTCTTCTTTGCTTGAAAACTCCATGCCTAAAGATAACTCACCATTATTTATTGATGAGTAATACCCATAGTCACCGAGATGAGGCATATTCGCAAATTATGGCCCGTACATTGCACCATAATCAGCTTCATACATGTGTGCATGAGGGTCAGTTTGAGCCACATTTCCTGAAACTTCATCATCATCGGAGTTGAATTGCGGTGATTCTGGGTCAATGAATAGTCCAGTCTCAGCACCATCCGCACCAGGCTCACGAAGCGGTTCTTCTGGTGGAGATGATGGTTCCTCCATGCTCTCCACATTTAGGTCGAAGAACCTACTACTTGCACGCCTTCCCCTTGAACCGGAAGGCATATCGACATTGAGATCGAAAAAGCTCGCAGTCGAATGCCTCCCCCTAGAGCTTGAAGCCATTGCGTCAAATGGAAACTGCACAGATGGTTGCGTCGATGGCATCTCCATATCAAGGTCAAAGGGATTTGCAGATGAATGCCTTCCCCTTGAACTGGACGCGATGTTGCCATACGGATTGTTCGTCGACCTACCTCGGTACATATCGTAAGGAGTTGCGGATGAATGTCTCCCCATTATGGCATTAAAATCATTACACATTACTGTCTTCAGGCTGTCAACTTGATCAACTTGTTCAGTCAGCCCATAGTGGGAGCTTAATGATTGACCCCGAACAACACGCACTTAAACAAAATGTGCATACATCTCAATAACGGCGTCTGAATAATTACTTTGAGCTTCAACCATCATTTCAACATCATCATTGTTCGAAAGTTCGAACGCTGTATAAGTTAATGGCAACAATGATGTTGGAAATCTATAATGCAACGACGACACTCTTCTACTACTTCCAACATGAATCTTCCTCGAAATCTTTGTTATCAGCTCCTCAAGAGTTATGTTTCTCTTGAATGATATTTTAACACGCTCATTTGATACGAAAACAACGCCGGTTTCATCTTCTCGAATTTCACCATCATAATAAACAATAGCTGAAAGTCGCGCCATTATTTGAGTTTAAAAGTGCGGCACTATTATATCTGTAAAAAAAAATGAAATAAACATGATTTAATAAATTATATATGAACGAACATATAACACAATAAAATTTTTACACATCAACGTAAATAAATTAAATAATATAATTTAATATTATTACTTGCACCGCAAAACTATTTCGACGTATGCTCCCAATTTCCAATTTTACAAACACAAAAATTAATTGAAAATAATTAGTATAATATTTTTTTTAAATAATCATAATAAACAATAAATATAATAAAAAATTATAACAAAATTACCTTATAACGAAAAATCGCACGAACTTTTAAATAAAATATGAGAATATTGCCAGAATTATTGACTCGTTGACGGAATTGTTGTATTAATTTATAAGTTGAGATGAGAGAAATGAGAAATTAACCGGCGGAAAATGATATTTATAGCGATGAAAGTTATACAAAAAACGGTACCTGCCCCGCGCTATATAAAATTATGCAGTAAAGGTATAGCGCGGTACCTGATCCGCGCTATACTCATACGTGGCGTATAACTCGCTGCAAGGGCCGCGCTATAACCACGTGACGCCAGTTCACTGTATAGCGCGGTGCAAGGGGAGCGCTATACCCTACGTGGTGCCAAATCATCGTATAGCGCGGTGCAAAGAGTGCGCTTTACTGCTAAGGGTGTTAGATCAAAAAATATAATCTAACTAATTTTAAATCGATAATATTATCAGTCACCGATGATATACCAAAAAAAAAATCGCCCAATCTATGTCCTCGAATGATTGATTTTTTTAACTGATAACAATCGAATATTTAAAAATAATTGATCCATCAATATAAAATTATTTTTTGGGCAAGCATATCCTTAATCTCAACTATCTTAACCATGTCTTCTTCCTTGTTCAAACTCATCTTCTTCACCTCCGTTTTTCTTCTTCCTTGCCCCGTAACCTCCATGGAAGCCGATGCCCTTCTAAAATGGAAACTTAGCCTCGATAACGACACCCAAACTTTGCTCTCTCGTCTGTGGCCGCCGGTCAAAAGCAACCACTGCAGCTGGGCCGGGGTCACCTGCGACAACACCACCGGGAGCGTCACCGGCATAGCCCTGAATGACTACAGCTTTAGACTGAGAGGTACACTCGACGATCTCGACTTCCTTGCCTTCCCTAACTTGATTTCGCTTCAGCTTCGAAACAACTCACTGTACGGCCGCATTCCTTCCGGTGTTGGAAGCCTCTCCAAACTCGTCTTCCTCGACCTGTCGGACAATAACTTCCATGGCTCCATGCCTGAAGAACTTGGGACGTTGAGCTCACTTCAGTACTTGAATTTCTCTTGGAACAGCCTAACAGGCCGCGTCCCATCATCTATAGGAAACTTAAGTAACTTGGAGTCTCTCTACATTTACATTAATCACATCTCTGGTTCGATCCCCATTGAAATAGGGTTGCTCAGATCACTTTCCACGTTGAAGCTATCTGGGAATAATCTCACCGGTGTCATCCCTGTTTCCATAGGGAACTTGACCTACTTATCTACACTGAAGCTTCACAACAATGGGATTTCTGGGTCAATCCCAAGAGAGATAACGATGCTTAAATCGCTCAACACATTGACTTTAACTAATAACTCAATCTCCGGTCCGATTCCTGCTTCCCTGGGGAACATGACCAGCTTGTCTATACTTGTTCTTAGTGAAAATAGTTTGACTGGTCTCATCCCTCCCGGTCCAGTATACGGTAATCTTACTAATTTGCAGTTATCAAACAACCATCTCACCGGTCCATTACCGGAGAATCTATGCCTCGGTGGAGTACTCACTCGTTTCGGGGCGGGGAACAACGACTTGACGGGTTCGATCCCGTCGAGTTTGAGAGATTGCAGAAGCTTATATAGAGTAAGGCTTGAAGGAAACCACTTCACCTGTAACATATCGGATGCTTTTGGTGTGTATCCGAATTTGGATTATATTGCATTAAGTGACAATGAGTTTTTTGGTGAGCTTTCTCCAAAATGGGGGCAGTGTCCTAATCTAACCAGCTTGAGAGTCTCCAAAAACAACATTTCTGGGAGAATACCTGTTGAATTAGGACGTGCAGCACGGTTAGGGGAACTTGATCTCTCTTTGAATCATCTCGTCGGTGAGATTCCGAAAGAACTAGGAGGATTGGCAATGATGTCCCGTCTTTCGTTAAGAGGTAACCGGTTTTCTGGGAAGATTCCACCGGAGATCGGACTTCTTTCGAATCTAGAACAACTTAACTTGGCATCAAACAACCTGTGTGGACCTATTCCTGATAATCTTGGCAACTGCTCCAAGTTGTTCAGCTTGAATTTGAGCAAGAACAGTCTTGGTTGGGCCATTCCATCTTCAATAAGCCACATGAATGCTCTTCAAAACCTGGATTTGAGTCATAATTCTCTCGTTGGAGGTATCCCACAACAGTTTGGAAGCTTGCATTCCTTGGAGATACTGAACCTTTCACACAACATGCTCAATGGTTCCATCCCAAAAGCTTTCAATGATCTGCATGGTTTGAGATTTGTGAACATATCTTTCAATCGATTGGAAGGTCCAATACCAGACCTTAGGGCATTTCATGAGGCTTCTTTTAATGCCTTAAGGAACAATAAAGGCCTATGTGGTAATGCCACTAGACTAATGCCTTGTGCCCTTCCTTCTCGAGCCAGCCATGGTCATGAAAGAAGGATCAAACTCACCATTCTGGTTGCGGTTCCACTCTTTGCTGTTCTACTCTTACTGTCCCTTTCCCTTACTTTCTGCAAAAAGACTCAAACCCGAGAATCCGACCCCTCCTACCCCGAGTCGAACGAGGACCAAATCGGAGACTTTTTCACCGTATTAGGATTCAACGGAAGGCAGCTCCATGACAGCATCATCGAAGCCACCGAAGATTTCAGCTCCGACTATCGCATCGGTTCGGGAGGATACGGGACTGTTTATAAAGCCGTATTACCAACAGGCCAAGTTGCAGCGGTGAAGAAGCTTCACCGATCCGAAGACACCATGGCTATCAACAACTCGAAAGCTTTCGAAAGCGAGATCGCTGCTTTGTTGGAGATAAGGCACCGTAACATTGTGCAGATGTACGGGTTTTGTTCACATCGAAAGCACTCGTTTCTGGTCTATGAATTCGTGGAGAGGGGGAGCTTGAAGATGGTGTTGAGCAACGATGAACACGCAAAGGAGTTGGATTGGGAGAAGAGGATAAACGTTGTTAAAGGATTGGCTAGTGCCGTGTGTTACATGCATCACGACCATTCGCAACCTGTAGTTCATAGAGACATTTCAAGCAACAATGTTCTGTTGGATTTTTACTATGAAGCTCGTGTCTCTGATTTCGGAACCGCTAGGATTTTAAGGCCAGACTGCACCAATTGGACATCACTCGTGGGCACATACGGGTACATTGCTCCAGGTATTAACTCATATCTCATTTTATTTTCAGGGTAAAGTACACAAACGGTCCCTTGACTATAGGTTATTATTTTATTAAGTCTATCGACTATTAAAAGTTACAAAATAGTCATTCGACTATAGAATGTTGCTTTGTTAAGTCCATCGACTATTAAAAGTTACAAAATGGTCACCTGACTATTCATTATGTTGTTTAGACTACTGTCAAATCAAATTTTTAATGAAAAATGACAGGTTTGAAACATAATTAATAGTCAGGTGATCATTTTGTAACTTTTAATAGTCGAGGGACTCAAAAAAACAACACTCAATAGTTTAAGGATCATTTTGTGATTTTTAATAGTCAAAAGACTTAATAAAGTAATATCTTATAGTCAGGGGACCACTTATGTACTTTACCCTTATTTTTATTTTTATAAAAGTGAATGTTTATATTTTAGAGTAAATTACGAGTTTAGTACCTAAACTATTAGTTTTGGTCTGTTTTAGTATCTAAACTTTTAAAAAAAATCAAAATCATACATAAAATTTATTTTTTGGTTCATTTTAGTACCCCTGTTCAAAAATTTAACGATAAGTTTTGAAAAGAAATTAAAAGTTTAGGTGCTAAAACGGACCAAAACTGATAGTTTGGGTGTTTAATGCGTTAAGTTTTTAACGGATGGTATTAAAATAAAACAAAAACTATACATTAGATATGATTTTAAAAAAAATTGAAAGTTTAGGTATTAAAATAAACTAAAACAATAGTTTAGTTACTAAATACGTAGTTTACCTTATTTTTATTTATTTTATGTGTTTAGTTTCTTTTAGAATTATCATTTAAGGTGTTTGATTATTAATGATAGTTAAAAAAATATTATCCAATTAGCGTTTCGCACATTATTTTTATTTAAAAAATTAAAATTACCAATTTTCTAAAATCTCCCTCTAAAATTTTAAATTACCCTAAATCCCCAAAAATCCTAACTCCTAATCCCTAAGTCCCATATGCCACCATCGATCACTTCCAGTTCGTCGCTATCAGTGAGGCTACACTACCACCAGAACCAAAATTGAGCTTCACGAACCTCTCATCATGCGCTCGTCATCTAATCTTCAATCTCCAAGGGGTTTGTGGGTTTGAGAATTTAGGATCAAGGATTTGGTTCTTTTTAGAAATTTAAAAGAAAAGATTTTTTTTATAGAAAATTTAAAAAATTTAGTATTTTTTATTTTTAAAATAAATAAAAAATTAATTGACCATATTCCCATATATAATGGGATAAGAGGGGAAGTAGGATAGTAGGCTGACTCCCAATGCCAGATTGAGAGCAGCTTCCGTGGAAGACCTCTAGCAGTCAGAATTATGAATTGCCCACCATGGTACTTGATCCCACGACCACAAGATTAAGAGCCTTGTGCTCTACCAACTGAGCTGGACGGAATCATTATGAATTAATGCAATGTGTCAAGCAATCATTGATTGACATAACTTTTTAATAATCGTTGATGAGATAATCTTAAATAGTGATAGAATGAAACTTTAGACACTTTAAATAGTAAAAAATAAATGTTAGACATCTACTTAAAAAAAGTCTTTGTGTACCTAAAATAAACGAGAGATATAATTAAAATGTTTATTTTTTAATTAGAAATAATTCGAATGATGTATACGTAATTATATTATTATTATTTTTGTAGAGTTGGCTTATTCGATGAGGGTGGATGAGAAATGTGATGTGTACAGCTTTGGGGTGCTAACGATTGAAGTTTTAATGGGGAGGCATCCCGGCAATCTTCTTTCATGTTTGACGTCTTCGTCGTCAAAAGACCACCGGAGTTTACTTAAAGATGTGATAGACCAACGTCTTTCACCGCCGGTAACCAAAACCGCAGAGGACATATTCTCTACCCTAAAGATAGCATTTGCATGCTTGAATAGCGATCCCCAACTTCGGCCGACCATGCGCCAAGTTACTCATGCCCTTACTCGTCAATCTCTTCCATCGCCAGCCCCCTTCTCCACCATAAAGTTGGCAGAATTGTTGGGTCATGTTATGTAGTCTACGATGACTAACGATTAATGCATGTTACTGATGATATATTTGCACACGTGTCACATCACCTAAAATGATAATACGACATATGACACTTCAACAATTATGCATATGTAGAAATACTACGTCAATAACATACATTGACCATTAGTCAACTAATGGTTCCATCCAACAAAAGTCATTTTAACAAAAAATTAGAACATTAAGGGTTAAAATATCCACACACAAAAAAGGGCTAAAGTGATCAATTAGATAAGCCGTTGGGGCTAACTTTGATATTATGCCTAAAGTTTTTATATAACTTACTAAAAATTTACATAATATAAAATCATGCTGCGTAAAGAACTAAACCTAATTGGTACTTGTTAGTGAACGTAAAGAACATACAGAGCAATTAAACCAACCTTGAACTTGCCCCTCCTATCGAAACGAGCTCTGGATCATAGACTCACGCTAGCGTCGATGGTTGGCGGCGGTGTTATTTAGCAGCTTCTCCATTCAGAGCTTCTTCTTCACAATCTTCCTTGAACGTTTCTTTATCTTTTAGTTTTTGATAGCGTAAACATCGGTTTCGCGGTGAAATGATGGGAAAGGTCAGCTGTGGTCGAGTGCAACTCAACCAGACAACCAGAGGTTGAAACAGTCTTTCTAACATCAGCGAAAGATCCTCTCTATAAACACATGACGAATCGTAAAAGAATTGATATTTTGGTAGGACAGATGAAACTTTAACACATAGGAACCCAATTTCTTGAAATAAGAATTGAACCATCATTACCTGCAACTAGATTATTTGATCTGAACTGTTGAATTCAGTTTACACTGTTTTGTTGAATGCTGACCTGTCCATGGTCTAACGTCTAGGCTTTGACCCCTTTTGACATTATATGCTGCTTGGACAATATTTCTGCAGTGAGCTGGCGACCAAATAACTCAGAATTCTTAAGAATCAGGTTTCTCGTTGTAGAATCGACAACATATCCTTGACCTGGCATCCACTGCAGTAACTGCAGGAGCAATTCCTTCTTTTCAGGCTGAGCAATGTAACGCGATATCGCAATCTCAAAGAGTCCCTGCATAAAACCAAATAAATACACCAATCTCGGGATAATCAATTGCAGATGCAATCCATGCATCAGAATATAGAACTTTGGAAACATGCATCATTCGACAACTCAGGCAAGTGTGCCATTTATAGCAAAGTAATTTCAGTTCACGAATCAAAATAATGTAAGTCCATAAGTATCTACCTGATCAATCTTGTACCCAGAAGCATGAATGACCTTCAGGACATCGTTTATCAAGTTGATACTACCCAGCTTCATGAATGCAGTTGCAAACTTTTTTATCGAAGGGCGAGAGATGTGTTGCGCGTTATCCTGATAAAAGAAAGAAACATTTGAGCAAAAAGAAACACTAACAGTAAAGAAGGGATTGATCGTTCTATCGCATACCTTGACAACTACATATGCATCTTTGAACAACTTTCCAGCTATTAGGACACGCAGAATTTTCTCATGAAGAGCTTTGCACATTGTTCTTTTGCTATATCTCAACATGTTGTAAACAGAAAATGCTTCAGAATGGGCCTTCATTTTACCAAGTTGAAAGATTAAGGAGGAGCAAAGTTCCTGCAAATAACATAGAGTTATATGTTTATATTCTTTAGTTCAATTTGATTCCAAGAAAAAATGTCGCCCCTGTCAAATTTGAAATTCACCCCATCATCGTTATTACGCATCAAGTGTAGAATTCTCATTAAAAATTGATAGCCGAGGTAAGTTAGTCAGATAGCTTTTGATATAACCCTGTTATTAGGTAACAGGTCCTTTGCCAAAGAAGCAACTCCGATAACCGAAACTTGAGCAAACAAATTGACATAATGATAAGAAACTGCCTTCATGCACATTTGCAGGAGAAAAAAAGTACAGTTGAAGATTACATTCGACTACACAAAAAGAATCGTTCAGAAAATTCTTATTATGGTATGAACAAAGTACTAAGAGTGTTCTACACAATGTTCATAGTGAAACGAGCTCATCAAATAAGGTTAGTAAGTTATGCCGTAATAGGCACACTGAACAAAAACATTGCTCGACGGCGTTCATAATAAGATCTAAGAGTTAGAAAGTCCAATACCTCTTCTGGATGATAGCCTTTACCATGCATGTCCACCATGGTCCTATAAGCAAGAAGATATAGTTTCTCCTTGCAGAAATACTTTATTAGGATATGAAAGGTGCTATAATCTGGACTGATTGCAAGTTCATCCATTTTTTTCATTGTTTGCATTACACTCTCCATATCACCGGCTCTGCAGTAGGCACAAAGCATTGTATTTAGCATGACCAGGTCATACTTGTTATATTTGGCCTCGAAATCTTGGGCCAACTCCTTTGCCTCTTCAAAAAGCCCACCTCGACACAGAGCTGAAATCATGATACTATGGGAGTATCCATCTGAAGAAGACAAATAAAGTTCATAAACTGGAATCGGAATCAAAACAAGGGGGCATGAAACTTCAACATAGCACGTTAAGCATGTATTAAATCATTAGGTAGTGGTCCTTCAAAACTTGGTATCTAACACAGGTAGGCTCAATCTCTAAAAGGAAACTCACCGGATTTGACACATTTTTCCTGCATTTCGGCAAAAACAGCTCTTGCTTCATCTAGACGCCCAGCTTTTGAAAGACCATCCATCAACAAACAGTAAGGCATCTACATATTTTGTTTGCATATTACGAGTATTTAGTTATAAATTTATGTAAGGTATTCAATAACAGCTGCAGCCAACGAAACTTAATACATTAGTCGGTCATAGACACAAAAGAAAAATGAAAATTTAAATGCAAAACTTTATCAAGGTTCACGTCTCATATTTGACCAAGAATAGAATTAGAGCAAATTATTCAAAGTACCTCATCTTCAGCATAACCCAAAGCTTCCAATTCAGATAACAATTTTCTTGCCTTTTCAAACAAGCCTCCTCTAACATATACTTTTAACAAAGTTGTTAGTATAACCTGCAAGAATTTGCAAAAACAACACTAATGACATATGTTTAAACACAACTCACAATAGCTGATCTTCTAAGACGAGACACGAAAAAAATAAACCTTATTTGGTGCTAATCCTGAAGATTTCATTTCCTCCATCAACTCATCAGATTTACGATAATCCCCGCCATAAGAATAAGCATTAAGTAAAGAGCTGTAATGATATACATTAGGTGAATGACCTTCCTCCCTCATCTGGCTAAAGTAATTCTGAGCTTCGTCACAAAGACCATTTGAAGCACAAACAGCCAAAAGAGTTCCGTACATCACACTATCCATTTGCAAATCATTATATTTCAACTCCTTAATCAACTCTAAAGCCTTAGAATGCCCATTTTTCATTCTTATACAACCTGCCAGCAACTTGAGTATGACAAAACAAAAACAACCATTAAAGTCTCATATTACAAATTGGGTAAACAACTAAACATGATAATTGGCTAAAGCACACATTCAGTCACGTTACAAGCCATACCGTATTATAAGTAACCGAATTCGGGGCTAAACCCTCCTGCTTCATCTTATCAAACAATTTAACACCACTTTCAAATTTCCCATTCCTAACCAGACAACTAAGAAGAGAATTACATATAAAAACATTAACTTTGGTTGGTTTATCAGGAATGCTATTGTAAATCTCCAAGGCCTTAACGGGATTGAGCTTTTTCCCCATAACTTTCATATAAGTACTATAAGATGAACCGTTGGTCTTCCCATGGTGTTGCATCCAATCAAACAGCTGCAAAATTGTCCAAAAACAAAAAAGAATCAAACCCCCCACCCAAAACAAAATATCAACTTCCCATGCGAAATTCAAGGTACCTGAGAAAGAAGATGCCATTTGCCTGCCTTCCCGAACTGTCGTAAAATCACATTCAAATCCTGCGGCTTTAAAATCCCACCGAACTCTTGAAGCGAAGAGCTCAAATCGGGGGACTCTTGGACTTGAAGAAGAGCGGATTGTCTTTGCAAGTAAGACTTGGAGTGAGGGCGAGTGGGGTTGGGTTCTTTGAGGGGAGTTGATGTTGTTGTGGAGGTGAGATTAGTGAAGCTGGCTCTTGGGGTTGAAGGGGAAAAGGAAGGAACTATGGGAAATGAAGACGGTAATGGATGGGTGAAAATTTGGTGGTGAAACGCAGTCGTGCTGAGAACCGATGATATCTCCATTAGAGAGAGAGAGCTTGTTCGCTTATCAGTGTTCTGCTTCAGTTTGTGATAGCTTTTGAATGCTTGTTTACTGCTGGGTTAAACTACCCTCAAGATCACTAAACTATTGAATTAATTATATTTTGATCATTGAACTAAAACTTTTATCAATTAGATCACTATACTTTCAATTTGATTTTGATTTCAATCAACAGACAGACTAGTCTGCATTTGTAATGAAAGGTTCAGGAACATATGGATTTCGGCTCTTAATCAGCTGCAAGTTTTCAGACAATATTAGTTTCGGTTAAGACGGTAAATCGGTTACTTGCCCCGGAAACAAGCACGTCTATGATTCCGGTATGCTTTCTATCCCATCCGAGTTCCACAAAGCTGCTACTCTTGTCCAAGTTTTGAATATTAGCTAAATCATAATTCCAGCAATAGGGAGCCATTGTTGCCCTGATCAGCAACCATGCTGCTCCCCATATTAGTTCATCTTGCATTCACCGCAGAAGCTTTGCTTCGAGATCGGAATTTAATTCGAGTCGTTATTCATATACACCGATGATTTAACGTAACATTACCCGACATCCACTAAAATCACAGGAAAATATGCACGCCCGTGGTCCAAGACTGTCATTGTATGGTCCTTTGTACCACCTGCAAATCCGAAAACCCGATCCCCAGCACAATTGTTCTGTTATTCATCGGAGATGGCTTCGACATATCAAAGAAAATAAACTTAGTGCTACCATTTACCATTCTTGCTCTTTTGAGAAACCTAGAGGAATATCCTCGATTAGTAGGTCTAAACACCATCAAAGAGGCTGCAAGCGCGGCGGCTATGTCGGCTGAACTTCTTGCCCCCGGAAACCATTTACTCGCTGCATACGGCGTTATAGAAGAGCGTATTGCACCATATAGACATAGATAAAGACGTACACCGATCTCGAAGCCGTCGCGAAGAGCGTAGTCCTTTGTCCAGGTGATCCTGTGAGTAGGAGGCAACTTCCCCAACCGATGTCCTTGGTAGAACTGAATGCTTCTACGTATATAGCATTATATTTCGAAAACATAACCGAAAATAATTAAAGAGATTAAACACATGTAATATGTATTTATTTAATTTCGATACCATGTTTGTGATGTGATATAGTGTCTGTCCAATTTTTTTCTCTTTTTCTTTGGTCCATGTTAATTTTAGTTCGGTGTTGATCGTCGATAGTTGGTGTTTATTATTATTTTTATTTTATTATAATATATCTTTATTTTTTTATTTTTTTTAATAATTTTGTATTTATAACCTTTATGACATATTTTTTATGTCTTTATAACACATTTTCGATCGTTTGACCGTTATGTTCATTTATCTTTTCTTTTTTAAGATTATATTTGACATCGTCATGACTAATTAAAATAACACTTTATTTTTAATCATGTTAATATTCCCTACTTTAGACCCTCGTATTGGATTTGGATACACGATTTACGTTCGTAGATAATATTTTCACTTCGCTTAATTATGATTTGTAATTTGTCGATAGTCTTTCAATAGTTTCATTCCCTTTTGTGATTCGTTAGTAAATGCAGTCAAATATATTCATACCTACCTTTTATATGAGTTTATTTTGTTATTTTTTTTAGGCTTTATACATTTTTAGGTTCCTAAACTATATATCATATTAATTTTTGGTGCCTAAAGAATTTTTCGTTAAAAATATATGTCTAATATTTTATTCGTTATCTTTTTAAGTGCTTATAGTGAAAAAAATCTGAGTCATGTGTCACTCCAATTTTTTTTAAATATTTTAAAATGATATTTTATTTTTTAAAGAAAATCAAAAAAATATAAAATATTACATGTGTCACTTAACGAATTTTTTTAAGTGTAAACAACTAAAAAGTATAATGAAAAAAATATTATGCACCAAAAATCAATTTAAAATATAAATTAACCTCATAAAAGTGTATTAAATTGATTTTTTAACCATTTTTTGACTTATTATCTTAAGTGTCTAATTTTTTCGTATTTAAAAAATATTTTTATTATATGCTTGGTTTAGAATTATAGTCCTAAATTTTTATTATAATTTAAATCGAATGCCCACGGGTTCTCCTTCCTTATCTCTTCTTCTTCTTCAGGAGTGAAATCGTTCTGGATGTTAAACGTAGTCCGAATCTCCTCCGGCGACTTCCCCTTTATTATGTCTGCAACTTTTTGGCATATTGAATCCAACAAGGTCTTCACATTCAAAAAGTTAGCAGCCTGTAAATCAAATTTCAATCTCAACTTGTTATTATCATCATTAACAGCTAATAAAACTGCCATGGCAATAGCGATTGCAGAATCATAAATAAGAGAAGAAAAACGAGAAACTAACCAAGATGAGACCATAGAGGGTATCTAGATCAACTCGAAGAAACACAGCATCCCAAGTTTCGAGTTGATCATCACCCGAGTTATTTCCCCCATTGACGTGCATCTTGCAATACTCGAGAACCTTGGATAAGATATTGCCGGTGACGTTAGGGATAGGGATTTTTTCGCCGGAACAATCGTCTTCGATCATGTTTTTTATCGTCTCCAATTGAAGCGCCACCGCTTCTTCCACCGCGAATTTCTCTCCGTCCGAGCTCTCCAATATTATCCTTTTAGAAGTCGATGATTTTCATGATAAGCTTGTAGAGCACGGTGCAAAGACTAATCGGTCTGAAATCAGCAAATGACTCCGGGCTCGCAGTTTTTGATATGAGAACAATTCAGGCTTTCTTGAGCTCCGAATCAAGCGTCTTGCCATTGAAAATATCTTTGACCCAGACACAAACAGAAGTCCCAATGGTATGCCACTGGTCTTGAAAGAAGAGAGCATTCATACCATCAACTTCCGGAGACTTGAGTGGGCTTATATCAAACATAGCGCTGCAAATATCCTCATTCGTAATCGAAGCGTCAAGAGCGACGGTGTTCGCGTCAGATAAACGAGGAAAAGCCTTCGTGATCGGAAAGGTACCCGGATTGCCTTCCTCGTCCCGATAAAGATTGAAAAAATAGTTTACCTCTTCAGCACGGAGGATATCATCATCATAGCACCAGTCTCCATTACTAATGCAGAGGGCATTGATCCGATTGGCTTTGCGGCGGATGAGCGCGCGTGAAAATACTTATTGTTGCGATCACCTTCCATAACCCAGATATCACAAGATTTCTTTTTCCACAAGAGTTATTCCTGATCAAGCATCTCCTCGAGCCTGGTGCAGATTCTCAACTCTTCAACATAGAGATGATTATAACCATGTCTATCAAGGCTAGCTTGGATAGAAGCTAGTTGATTTAGCTTTTTCTTTTCCTGTATGATATGATAAAACACAGTTTTATTTCAAAAGACCAATTATCTCGAATGAACTTGTGGAACTCCGGATGTTTGGTCCAGCCAGCTAAGAAGCAAAAAGGACAATTTGGAGATTGATGTTGAGGTATCAAGGTCCGAAGTAGAATAGAGCGGTGATCCGATTTGATTCTGGTAAGATGATGTACCGTCGAATTCGGGACAAGCGTAATCCAATCATCATCGGCCACCATACGGTCTAAGCATTCGAACACACCTCCATTAGTTTCCTTATTTGAAGTTTTCTTGCTGTTGTTGTTGCTGACCGATAGACGCGGATGCCGCCTTTTCACGACCATCCAGGGGTCGTAAGGGTCGCTTTCTGGGTGACTGGTCTCGTCCTTTCCGTTAGCCTTGGCTACAGTTGTAGTCGTCGAACTACTCTCTTCAGGTCTGGCCGTGGGGTACTCCGTAAGCGTTTCGGTTACCGGTTCTTGCATCGACGTATGCTTAGAAAAGGTGTTTAAGGTCAATGAACACTGCCACTCTCGTGAAACGTCTTCTGTTGCTAATCTCTTTGCATAGGTCCAGTTTGGTAACCCTGCCAACAAGATTATCGATACAAGTTAAGATTTTCTTTTTAAACATATATACAAGTTGAATCAAGTTTATGAATTCGAGTCGAGCAGAGTCTAGTCAAGTTGTTCTGGTTTATGTTTAAATTTAATTATAAATATTTATAATGTTACGGTATTAATTGATTCTAATTTAAACAACATTTTATAACCATATATGATGTTCATATATATTTCTTCATATTTCTTTTTTTATTTGTGATATACATATATCATGCAAAGTTGAGAAACTAGGCTCGAACTTGAAAAAACAATTCACTAATTACTAAAAGTTGTGAGTTATTCGAATCTTATTATAATTAAAACTAAACTTATTTTAAGTGGTTAATCGCATAGAGGTCCTTAAAAAATTTAATATTTTCTTAATAATAACAATTTATTTAATGGTGTATTTTAATATGCACCGTTGAATCTAGACTCATCCATAAAAGTATCTCAATTTATTCATTTTATATTTTTATTAACAAGACAACGTACATTCAGTCATGTATACATCTCCATTTTTTCAATAATAATTATTATTAAATTCAAAATAAGTTAATCGATTTCATGTTGAATGAATTTTTATTTAAAATAATATCAAAATATCAGTCATTAAAATTTATTTGTAAATGAAAAAAATAATATTTATATTAATAATAAAAAATATTTTAATCGAGTCAAATATTTCTTCCAACTCTTTTTAATACATATTATAGATAGATTATAGATATAGATTATAAATTACATACAAAAAATGTGATGTCCCCGGAAACAATTGCTAAATGTTTATCCCTTAAGCTGATTTATGTTTGAATTGATTTGAGCTTTCAGCCCATATTCACAATTGTCAAATAATATTAGTAATAATAATAGGAGGAGGAGGAGGAGGTTAAGCTTGATCCACCGTGACGAAAACATTTGCCGGAACGGCGACATCCGACTCAATCACGACTCGATTTTCCGACACATTACGCAGGGCGTGACTGGGAAATGAGCCGCCCCTGCTAGAGCTTAGTGAATACTGCACATGCTTAATCAGGTTAGGAAATAAAAGCACGGGATTGAAATCAACCGTCCAGGAACTGCCATTCCCTTCAACGGACCCTCTTGCAACCGTTGATTTCATGCTCATCCCCTTGGCATTGTTCCTATCGACTACGACCTGATCGATTTGTTTGAAGGGACCATTTGATTGGTCAAGCTGGACTATTTCAACCCCATTATTGGACCCACTGAACATGTTGTCCACTATACTCACTCCATTCGCAACCCCGTTTATTGATTTCAAGAGGATAAATGCATCTCCCAGGAAGAAACTGCTGGAGATGTGAAGTTGCACCGGGTCTTCGGCCACGATTCCGGTGTAATCGAGGTAAGAATTCACTATCCGGGTCTGCGTGAGACCGGGCAGCTTCAAGTAAATCCCCGTGCCACCGAAACCCGTTGCCTTATTGTAACAATGTACCCCGGAAAAGGTGTTGGCTTGACCTGATGCCATTATTCCGATGGCGGCCGAAAAGATCACCACGTCCGTCACGGCGTTATCGTTCCCCATCAGGTTAATGGCAGTGCCGGTGTAGTTCCGTTCACCCGCATCGCCACCGGCCGTGATATGCTGACCGAGGAAAGAGTTCCTGATATAAGTCTCGTGCCCACCTTGGCCTAAAATTCCATTGCTGGTAAAATGGGCGATGTAGCAGTTGTCGATACTAGTCCTTAGCGAGTTGATCACTGAAATACCACCACCCCTGTAATTACAATCCAACAATAAGTCTTTGAGGGTTATGAACTCGTAGTTATAGGATGATGATGATGAGGTAAGCTGCACATCCAGATTCGAGGAGCTCCCTTCTTTAACTTCTTGAGTAGTGCTGCCCGATGAACTTGCAGACAAATCAATTAGATACCCATCAACCGGAAAATCATCCGACGCTCGCAGTGTCCCTCCCTGGATCTGCTCCATCAAATTAAACAAGAGTTATATTCCGTGATATATATATATAAAAGCTATAATGCCAAAAAAATAAAAAATAAAATGTCATTCACGTCCAGGGATGGGCATGGTACCCAAACCCGACGGTTCTAACCCGATTGGGTCGGGTCGGATTTGAATTTAAGGTGAAAAATATTCGACTCGACCCGACTTGAAAAAAATATAATTTTAACTTATATATTTAAGAATAATTACAATAATATCACTCTATATATTATTTTTTTCAATTAAATCATTATTTTTATTGAATAAAAATAATATTTTTATTATTATTTTGAGTCGGGTTGGATCGACTTCGATTTTATCTCAAAAAAATTGGATCGAGTTGAGGGTATATATTTTTTGGGTCAAATCGGGTCGTGTTGACAGAAACCAGACCTATGCCCATCTCTATTCATGTCTTAGTCATCTAATTATTCATGTAATTCTATTTTAATCACCTAATTATCTTTTTTACAAAATAATACTTAATACGAGGTTTTGATTTCTTTTCCAAAAAACCTATACATTAAATTAAAATATCATTTTCGATTTTTTTACAAGAATTTTGATCTTATCATTTTATTTTAGGATAAAAATCTATTATTTTCGGGATGTGTTAAATTATTAACTAATAATTTTCATATGTAAAAGTTATATATTTACTCAAAATAAAATGCTAAAAATTAAACTATTTAAAAATAAAAAAAATTATTTAATTATATATATATATAGAGGGGGAGAGGGAGAGGGAGAGGGAGAGGGAGAGGGAGGGAGATAGGTAAACTGCATAAGTTCCAGGATTATGACCCATAATCGCCTCTCCAACTACGTGTCACTGAACTTGATAGGAGAGGGAGAGGGAGGGAGATAGGGAGGGAGATAGGAGTTCCACGACGGGATCGATATAAGAGTTCCACGTGTCACTGAACTTGAAATAATAAAAAGCAAATTTTGAAACTTGAGTTTGAAATATTAAACCTCTGCCCGCGACCTTATACCCTATAATTCAATGCACTTCAAGCTTTTTCCCACCAGAAAACTGCGAGTTTGTTTGTTTGTTTTTTTCGTTTTGAAATTCAAATCCAAAGGCAGGTGGCACTCATAAATCTGCCATATGAAATCGTGGTTTGAACTTTTCGGTTTCTTTTCCGATTCGATGACAATGGACATGCATTTTTCTCTTGGATTTCTAAATCAGAAAGAAGAGAATTTAAATCGACGGCGTACCATAAGGTTTCCTGCACCCGGAGCCGGTAACCGCAGTGGTTTACTGAGAACGTAATTCCCGCCTTCGAGATCAATCCGTGGCCCTCCAAGATTAGTGATCCCCTCCATCAAGAGCCCTTCACTCGGGCCGTTAAATGCGTCGGCGATCGCCTTGTTGAGCGCCTCCGTGCTGTCTGATTTCCCCGTCGGATCCGCCCCGTAATCCGTTACACGATACACACGTGAACCAGGTGCTCCCTGCATATCATCAGTTTTCGGTCACGTTGCGGGTAATTAATCTCAGGCAAGGCTAAGAAATCCGATCGACAAGAAAATAAATCATTACCTGCTGCGGCGAAGCAGAGGGGGAGATCGCCGGACCCGAAACAAGAGAAGCCTTGAACGCTTGTAATTGGAACATCCGGTCATGGTAATGCGCAGCAGAAAGCTTCCCCGCCGGTGAATCAAAGCCGGAAACATCGATCATGAACAAACTAACCAAACACGATATCACGGAGAATAAAACACTTCCCTTCACCATCTTTCCGCCTGTGTTTCTCTCCGTTTTCGAAGAAAAGAGACGGTTTAAAAGGCAGGGAAAACTAGGAACATGGAAAGAGAAGGGCCCAACTAAGATCAACGAGGAAATCTATAGAATGTTTTACAAAATTAGGTCACACAAATCACACCTTATAGCATCTGGATTGCTTGCTTAGGTAAAGTCTGTTGGGAATTTAATTACTTGCCGGACAAAAAAGGTAATCAATTACCAACTTCCTACTTTACTAACCCTAACAAACAAGGTTGACGATGAAACTTTTTTTGTTTCATGGATCTTTTTCAATATATATACAGAGATCAATCGATAACCAGTTACTGATTATATGGTTATATTAATTGTGGAGTGAAATTAAGGAATATTAAAACTGCAACTAAGAGCATATGTTACGAGGCATGTGGTGTAACATACAGAGGTCAATTCATTTACTTTAATATAAAGCAGAGAATAAAAAATGTTTAAAGTAGTTTTTTAATAAAATTATGTGTTTAATATTTATTATTAAAATATTTAATTGTTCATAATTATTTAAAAAATATTATCTAATCAAATAGTTGACACAGAATATATTTTTATTTTTTAAAATTTCATTTTTACAATAAAATCATTGATTTTCAAACTCATGAAACTCCTATTTCACTTAATGTGTTTTAAATCTTTTTAATTTACCTAGCTGAGTTAACACATTGAGTTTTTTTTTACCACTTAGTTGTTAGATGGTTAACGGCGTTAAAATGAGATATTATATAGATATAAAATGAAGTCGTTTTAGTGAAAATTTAGTAATGTAATTACATTATTATGTTTGTAAATGTAAATTTTAATGTGAGTTTAATTTTATTTTTATTTTATAGAGACAAATTGCTTATTCCTTAAAAAATTAAAAAAATATATCGTGGTGACAAAAAAAACTCAAACATGTGGATTCATATTTACTTTGACTTTGGGGTTGTTTGTAAATGCTTAAGCAAGTGTTTTTTTTACGCATAATTCTATTTGAAACGCAAAAACATTACAAAAAAAAAATCATTTTCAGTTAAAAATCACATTTGAAATGTGATGACCGACTCAAACCAAGAAGTTAGAAAATTGTACTTTAGGGTGTGTTTGGTTAGGGGAATGTGAGATTCCCATGGGAATGGAATCCACATTCCAACGGTAATCTTACATTATCAATAGTGGATTTTTTTTGGGTATATTACCGGGAATGTCATTATCTCCCTTTCCTTAGGTATTGTTGGATTACCGACGTTTGGACTATAATGCCCTTAAAATTATTTTTTCCTCAAATATATCCTTATTTTGTCATTGAATAATAAAAATTATACGAATGTTAAATTACAAATTTATCCTTAAACTATTTTAGATTTATAAAAAAAAGTCTATAATTAAAATTTTATATGAAGTTCAGGAGTTAAAAATAAAATTTTACCCTTTCATTAAACCTTTTTATATTTTCAATTTTGTAAAAAATATATATATATAAAATTTATGAATTTAAATTTCTTAAAGAAAATATATAAATATTTTCTAACTTGTTAAAAAATAAATATATAATAAAGACAATTTGGTTAAATATACATTCCAATAATCTTTTATTCATTTAACCAAACACGATAATCTTACATTCCTGTTAAACCAACCAAACACAAAATACAACATTCCCAGTAATCCTATTCCCTGGCAATCTTTTATTCCCACTGGTAATCTTATATTCCCACTGGTAATCTTATATTACGTAAACCAAACGCACCCTTAGTATTAGAAAAACTTATTTGGAGAAACATTCCCAAACGAAGCCAAATTGTATACTTGTTTATAATAAAAATTGATGGGGTAGGTTATTTTTCCTTTTTCAGATGAAGTTTACATGAATTTCACTTCCCTCTATCATGTTATATTCAAAAATCTCCTCTTAATTATATAATAATTATTTATATATATTTTCAATTATATAGTTTCATGATCATTTGTAAATAAATTTTAGTTTCATAATTTTTAGTGAAATAAAATTTGAGAAACATTTGAATTTTAAGATAATTAGAGATAAATATATAAACTAAAATTTATACACGAGGAACGTGTTTAAATTTATATAAATAAAAATTCAGGTTAAGTTTAAGGTAAATAATAAAAAAAATATTTAATTTTTTAGTAATTTAATTTTTATTCTTAGTTATTTATATTTAATTTTTTTGAAGGTTTTTAGTTTTTGATATTTTAAATTTGAATATTTTTATTTTAAAAAATAAATAAGCCATTGTACTTTCAAAAAATTAATTTGACTCTCAAAATTGACTAAAACAAACAATTTAATTCATCTGTCACATCACCAGTCATCATGGAATGTCATGTCATTATCGTAACGGTCAACAATAAAAATTGTTGGTCAAATGGGTCATATTGGTTATTTTTCTAAGTTTGAGGGTCATATTGAGTGCAAAAATAGTTCAAGGGTCACATTGGTTTTTTTCATGCCTGCGTTTATGAGGTTTTAGTGGCCTAGGACGAATATATAAATTAGACAGTTAATATCAAGTATTGCAAAAAATGAATCATAAGAACAAGTAAGACTAAATAAATTTATTTGTAAATTGTTTTTATTACGTTTAATATGTTAGATTTTAGCCTTCTGTATCTTGTCGATAAAAAAATAATTAGGTGGAAAGTAAAAAAATAATTTAAAAATATCATATCAATATCGCTATTAACTTTTTAATAGTTAGTAACAAAAAAAACAAAATGTACGTTAAATATGATTTTAAAGAAAAATAATAATAATTGGATGACAAAAACATAAATAAAGTAATGAGTGACTAAATAAATAATTTATCATTTTTAATTATATATAAATTTATAATTTTAGGCCCTGAGCAAGAAGGGGCCCAAGGAAGTGTGGATGGGCATGGGTCGGGTTGGGTCGGGTTTTTGGTCCACCCGATCCGAGAACAAGAGAGCCTCCACCTACGACCCGACCCGACCAAAACAAGGTTTCACCCGACCCGAATATATGACATAGAAACCCGACCCGAAATAATAAAAAAATTATTTTTATTCAATAAAAACAGTAACTTAATTGAAAAAATTATATAGAGAGGGGTATTATTGTAATTATCTCTAAATATATAGGGTAAAATTATATATATATCGGGTCGGGTCGGGTCGGGTCGGATCTTTTTCACCCTAAACCCGACCTGAACCCGAATTATTTTTAGAAAAATTCGACCCGATCAGGACAGGTTTAAATGCCCATCCCTAGGTAAGTGTCTCTCTTGCCCATGCTGAGGGACGAGCCTGGTTTATTTTGAAAAGTACCATGACCTCGAGTATCTTTTTACCTTTTATATTTTTTCTTGGACGATTACAGTTAAAAACGTATTCGATTTAGTTTTTTAAAAAATAGTTAGGTGACTAAAATGGAAAAAAGTGATAATTGTATGTTAAGCATGTTGTTTACTCTTAATTTATTAGGACATGATGGGGGATGATCTGTATCGTCGATAACCGAACATTAACATGGAGAGGTTCCTTCCTTCCTTTGTAAGTACTTGCTCACTAATTAAGCCCGGTTTCCCTTATTTATTATGTCGGAACCGTCTTTCGGTTGGGCCCCGGAATTGGGCTTCGACTTAGGAAAATGGATTGGGAGTCGCCACCGATTATTTATTTAAAAATAAATAGGTTAATCGGATACCTTATATCTTACCTGATCTGCGTTTTACCAAAGATATGTCGGACTCGGGAGTCGGTTACAGCTAAGGAAGGATTAGCACCCTTGAACTGCCCTTTCGGTACTATGTAATTTCCAGTTGTCTTTAATTAAGAAAGTTGTAAATTTAAATAAAAATGTAAAATGACGATCCAAATTACTTACCTTAGATTGCTTAAATTGTACCCTTAGAAAATCAAGACATATATTAGATAAGGAATGCAAATAAAACACCTAAGGTAAAATGGAAAACAAACAAGATGAGTAAAATATAGAATATAAAAATAATGTATATGATGGTAATAATGATAAAGATATAAACAATGGGAAAAATAAAAAGATATATATAATAGTAATAAATAAATAACAACTAAAAACTAAAATAAATCACCATAATCAAATATGTACATGTAAAATAAAAAAAATAATGAAAATAAAATAAGAAAATATATATATATATAACAATAATAGAGAAAAAAAATAATGTAAATAAATATAATAATAAAGAAGTAAAGAAATAGGGTAAAATACAAAATGTGTACATATATACATATATATATATATAATATAACATATAAGTGAAATAATACTATACTAATAAATATATACGAATGTATAAAAAAACTAATAATAATATAAAATATATATAAATATTATAATGTAATATAAAAAGATAATTAAAACAAAAATCCAGAGAAAGGACTAAAATGAAAGAACTGCAGGCTAGAGGTCAAAATTCGAAGCAATATTAAGGGTTAATTTTTATTCGGGGGTGTGAAATAACGCTTTAAAAGGTATGAGGGACCAAAAGGGTAGTTTACCCTATTTTATTTGAAGCACGCTGGTATATATGCTAAACAAAGAACTAAAAACTTTCATTTGGTTTATTTCAAAAGCCAGAGCCATCTCTTTTCCATTTCTCTGTGATGTTCTTGGGCTTCCAAGAACAGAGGCCGTGGGTTCCCAGAAACCGGCCATCAGCCGCCACAAGCCGCCTCGCCGGCGCCGTTGAACGGCGACGGCCGTCGTTCATCGGCAGCAAAATCACGAAATTTTCTTATTTTTCAGTAGCTTTTCACCTCCTCGTTTCAAAAATCCAGATAATTTTTCAAAAAATCAAGCCTCGGGGGCTAGATCTACGGAAGTAAATCCTGAAAACACCCCTTATTCATCGGCTAAAACGCTTCTTTTGGGTTCTATTCGAACAAAAATGACGAAGAGACCATGCATGCAAGCATCTAAAGCGATAAAGGTAAGAACTTTTACCTTTTCCTTCGAAAACTTTGCGAGAATTCCTCTGTTTTCACTCTAATGCTTACTGCGAATTTTTGCTAGGGTTTTGTGTCTATTTCTTGTGAAAACTCTCTCTTGTTTTTTTGTATTTTCATCCGTCCCCTCTT